TTTTTTTTTTCAATTTTTAGCAATATTTTCAATTAAATATTGATATTAATGAAAATCAACAATCGAAAGTATCATCAATTCGAAAAGAATTATTACTTGATTATCTTCAATATAGAAGTGAAGCTGGTAAGACAAGATTAAATTTCGAGAAAATATTTTTTTTTTAATCATTTTGTCAAACCTTTGGTTTCTAATATCGAATAAATGAGATAGTCGATGTTCATAGAGAGTTTTCTTCGAACTAATATAAACAATTGATTCAACTAAAATTCTTTGTCAACAAGAAGTAAATAGATATGCAACGGTATCTGTTCATTAGTTAAGTTGTTGAATACATGATAAACCTAGAATGATGACTATGAATAACATGATCATCGTCGGATTAGTCTTAGTTATAATCTTTAGTTTAAAACATTAGGTTTGACTATACAAAAAAAAGTTTCACTTGAAGAGTTGTTTCACATTATATATGGCACGCAATCTTTCGAAGATAAAATCTCGAATACGTGAAAAGTCATCTTTTACATTTCCTTTTGTTTTAGGAAAGACATATATTCAATCAAACAGTAATACACATTGAGTAAATGTGAAAGTTTCTATCATGAAAAAATTCAATACTTAAGTTTTATTCTATAGCTTTAGTTAAGGAACTTATTTTTATAGAAAATAAATGGTAGATTTAAATACTTAGAAAAGTTTTATCGATTTATCAAGATTACTGTATTAAATCTCTTTGAATAAGAATAGAAGTTTCTTTTTTAATTAAAACTAAGATTGGACAACTAAGTTGTAATGTAATAATCAAACTTACTCTTTCTATTGAACAGAATGAGAAATTAATCGTAATATGAAGGAACAAGATGACTGCACTATAATAGAACTTCATCATTTTTTTTTTGTAAAACACTATCTAAACGAAGTGTTGAAATGTACTTCATTATTGTATTTCTCGAAGAGTAATTATAAGGATAGTGAAGAAATGTGTTCCACAATAGATAGAATAAAATGATCTCCTTGTGATTAGCAACAACAAATACATCGTGTTTCACATTTTAATCTCGTAAGGATTGTAATAACAGATTTCTTATTATATATTATTCAATATTAGTTATGCTGTTATACAAAAAAGTGAAGATATATGTCATTTATTTTTAGACATGTCTGCAAATGATTTACATGAAAATCTTCTTCAATATTCGGAATATTCTTCTCATATACATTGTCGATTTTTTCCATTTTGGCCACCACGAGATGTTGATTTATTACAATGGCTTTCTCATTGGATTAAACAAGGTAAAAAATGTTTTTTTTTTTACTATTCAAATATCTCATACTTCTTACTGTATTTTCTTAGGTGCTCTACCTATTGCAATAATGAATATGTATCATTATCATTCTCAAAAAATTAATTTTTATTGTACATCTTCATCTTGGCAACATCGTATAATTTATGGTGTTGAACCTCGTGGAATATATTTAATGAATCCAATACAAATACAATCTCCTCAACAAATCTATGAACAATTAACTGTTGATTCAATAACATATATTATACGTCAAGAAATTGTTCAACGTTATAATCAATCTCCAATGTGTTTAACACCATTAGCAATAAATAATAATAAATCAAGATTATTTTCAGATACAAGGTGGCGTACAATGAATGTTCTTGGACAAGTTGTTAATGTTTTACGTGAAGATCGTCAATTAAATGAAAATGAAACACGTAATATTCCATATCGTCCAACTGTAACACATGTTCGAATACCATCAACATGTTCATCCGGCATTTTGATTTTTTCAAAAGATTATAATCAATTAATAAATGCGATAGACTTACCATTAAGACAATAAATCTATATTTTATTTCTCTGTTCATTGTACATTGTATCTTTTTTTTTTGTTTTTTGCTTTTTATTTTGCTAGTTCACACCGGTTGTCTGTATGTTTGAGCGATGTTTTGTTTTTTTTCAAGATGGAAATTCAATGTTATCATTGTTCATTATTTCGAGTTTTCATGTTTTCATTCACTGTATAGTAGTACTATGGGAATGACAAATAATGATTTAATATGGACTAAAAAATGGGAAATTTAATTTTGTTTTAATTTAATGAAAATTTTATAACTTGAAATCTCAAATCTTGATGGATTACGAGTATAGATATTTTGACAAAAGTAGTTAGGATTTTAAATCTATTCTTTATATAATTTTAGCTGATATCTATTAATGATAGAAGTATTGCTGACAAAAGATCTCTTGGTTATTGTTTAATTGTATATTTTACAAGACAATTTTCTTCGTCATAATATTCTCATTTGGCGTAATAAAATAAATATTTATTTATAGGTCAAATATTTCATGGATGAATTAGAATGAATATATGCATGAAACAAGAATTGTCACTATTATCGATAAATATTTCATTATTGTTCTATTTGATATTACTTTTTGTTGAATATAAAGTCTAACTGACTGATTTTTGCTTTCATTCAATTAATTTCTTACTACTCTACGAATAATAATCTTTACTTATTCGTATTTCTTTAAAGGTCACAATAACATTGCTTTTCAAAAGTGACATGAAAGAATATATGTCATTCTTTTGTATTGACTTAGATAAATTCTTCCAGTACGAACATTAAGTAATTCGATTGCATTGAGTCTAAACATAATCTTAAGAAAAAATATAATTTAATATAAAAATCTAATCAATTTTGTATTCAAATCAGATGTGTATGGTGTATAAATATGAAACATGATTATTTTAAATCAAATACAAATTATTATAAAAAAATATACATGTATTAAACTATTGATTAAGAATAAATAATAGAAAATCTTACATTTAGAAAATTGAAAAGAAATTTTCTATTAAAAATATGAAATAATTTTATATATATATATATAAGAGAATACATTGATATTTGATAGGAATATATTACTTGATCGTTTTTCTTTCGAAGAAATTCGATAATGTTTACCTTTGACCAATGATTTAATTATACATAGAAGACGTATTTATTAACGCTTCTAGATTGTCATATTACAACTAGTACAAAGATCAACAATAATATACTTTTTTTTATTTTTCTATTATTTTTGATAGAAAAAAAGAAATCTCAAAGTAATAAAACAGAAACCTTAATGATATCTTCTCATGACACTTTAGATTTATCGAAATGTTTTTTTTTTCCACACACATCTATAATTTTAACCATGTCTTCACAACCGTTACTAATCGTTTAAGACATAGAAAAATAGAACTAATAGTATCATAATTGCCCCAAAAAATTAAGTTACATTCTATACAAGAAAACATGATTGTTTCCCATGTTGTCGTTATCTATTTTTGTATTATATCATTCAAATAAAAATAATAAATTCAGATCTGTTCAATAGTTATACGTTTTGTATTTTTCAATAATTTCGATAATATAAAAGTGTATCGAACAGTAAAAATCTAAAATAAAACAAAAAAAGAAAGAAATAATGAAATTTTGTTTTCGAAGAAAAACAAAATTACTTGAAGTAATGAAGCTGTGAAAAAGATAATAATAAACATTATAGCAGCAGTTATTCCTTTAACAAAACCTAAACGTACTACTGCAACAATAATTCCAATTAGAATAACCATAGCAATAATTATTATTAAAAGAAGAGATACAAAACCAAGCCAAGCAAACTAAATAAAAGAAAAAAAGAAATATTATTTAGTAAAAAATATAATAATTACATACGACAAGTAAACCTGTTTGATAATAACGATAAGTTACTAATAATCCAAAACTATAATAAACAATATAAATAAGAATCGATACCAATTGAGAACTATTATTAGGAAGGTAACTTTGAAGTGAGGTAGTAGTTGTATATGAATGAAGAATAAATATGAAACTCATAAAGCCAATAACCTTAATAAAATATTCATTAGATATATAAATTGAATCTATTATTTACTACTAACAAGTATTATGCCAATTAAAATAAGTAGAATCCTTCGTGCTCGATTAACAACAGGTTCATATATTAATGTTGAAGACTTATTAAAGACTATAGAATCATCAGTCGTTGATGTTCTGTCTGTTA